CCCCCCATCACATGCTGGCCGGGTCGGGCATTCCGTCCCCACACGCACCGTCGCCGCTCCTAATGGGTCTCAGCTCCATCTGCCCCCGAGACCACAAGGCCCGAACCGGGATCGCCCCACTCACCTTCCCAGGGCCGAGGTCCAGGCCAGACCCGGGCACTGCAGTCCCGCCTGGACCAGAAGGCGGCCCGAGACGTACCACTTCCGCCCCCGCCACAAGAACGCGGCTCTCAGCAAAGCTCCAGGCCTCGCGAAGACCCGCAACTGCCACGACCAGAGCTCCAAGTTCTTCTCACCTCGAGGCCTGTGAGGGCGGAAGGGATGAGGCGGGGCCTACGTTGCACATGCACAGAGGAATCCGCTAAAGACCAGGAAAACCGTAAGAGGGAGAAAGACTGCATTTCCCTTGGCCCCCTGCACCCTGGGTTGACTGTGAACCAAGCAATCAATTTAGTACTTCAGAGTAGAAATACGGGGGGAATACCCTGAGACCTCTAATTGGGTGTGTGTCTGAGGCAGGAGATAGATGGGCCCCAAGCCAGGCATTCACAACTGACCTCCCGTTTACATTTCATGGGGCAAGAAAAAGTGGGCTTCTGACACGTACAACTTAGTCTCCTGTTTACATTTGCTGAGACAGGAGATAGATAGGCTTCAGTTTAGACATTTAAAATCAGCCTCCTGGGCTTTCCTGGTGGCTCAGTGGTTGAGAGTCAGCCTGCCGATGCAGGGGACACGGGTTCGTGCCCCGGTCCAGGAAGATCCCACATGCCGCGGAGCGGCTGAGCCCGTGAGCCATGGCCGCTGAGCCTGCGCGTCCGGAGCCTGTGCTCTGCAACGGGAGAGGTCACAACAGTGAGAGGCCCGTGTACGGCAAAAAAAAAAAAAAATGATAATAATCAGCCTCCTGTTTGCTCTCTGAAATGGAAGTAACAGCAGAAACAGTGTAAATAGCCAGGCTTTGTCTCCTGTGGACACCTTAAGATAACAGTCATGGCAGGAATAGAGAGGGGCTAACCCTTGTTTGAGTAAAAGATCAAGAGGTCATATATTTCCCATCCTTGGGGCAAGGGAGACATTGCAAATGTGCGGAAAGGTTCCTTGGGGGTCAAAAAGGAGGGGGCACCACCCCAGAATATGTGATGCTAAGGCCATCTCATAGGCCTCTGTGCTGAAATCCATCTTGGAAAAAAGTTGCACAGGCATATTGGGGAGGGTCCTAGGGCAGGTCAGGTGTAGCAGAATCCAGATAATTGGCCAAAGGTACACAAAGACCCAGAAGAACTGCCCTATATAAATGATTTAACCACCTCTTTACTGTGCTCCTCCTCATTAGGGGGGATGCCCACACCCTTTCTATCCAGATGTGCATCTCTGCCTTGCTTCTGTCTTAAGTAAACAAACTGTTTCTCTGTGTGCTATGTCTCTAATAATAAACTTTGTACCTGTTTTTACAGTTTTTGCCTCCATGAGCAATGCATTTTTCACTGGGGGCAAGAGCCGGGGATGTGGTGGCTAGGATTCCTGGTTTTCATCCAGGCTTCCCCGGTTCAATTCCTGGGCAGGGAATGATGTTCTCACTTCATGCCACCACTCACTGCTGTCTCTCCAAGATCATGTCCACACTGTGGCTCTTAGGCCATCTGTATACCTGGGTCCCAGGGCAAAACTAGGAAAGCTCGTAGCTGAAATCATATTTTCCAAATTGCTACATCCTGATAGTCCCGAGAAAATATCCTCCTAATGGAATAGAATTTTCCATCTCTGCATTAATTAACCTACTTGGCATCAAGGGGGAGTCCTTTGTGAAAGACAAATAGCGTATTTTCTCAAAAGTGAATTCACTGGTTTAGTCATAATGGGACAGACTTCTTTTTTCATTTATTGCAATTTTCAAACCAAGCAGGATGCTGCAGGGCCTTTCTGGATATAAAAGCTTTTCCCTGTTCTCTGCTTCTTTGGAGGAAAAAGGTTTCAGCTCCTAGACTGTCGTCACTGATTTCCAAAGGACAGAGTCAGTTACTAATAAGGAAGAAGAAAAAATACAGAAACAAAGGAGGGGCAGTCAAAAACAATAGGGCAGGGCTTCCCTGGTGGCACAGTGGTTGAGAGTCCACCTGCCGATGCAGGGAACATGGGTTCGTGCCCCGGTCTGGAAAGATCCCACATGCCGCAGAGCGGCTAGGCCCATGAACCATGGCCGCTGAGACTGCGTGTCCAGAGCCTGTGCTCCCCAACGGGAGAGGCTGCAACAGTGAGAGGCCCACGTACCACAAAAAAAAAAAAAAAAAAAAAAAAAAAAAAAAAAAAAAAACAAAAAAACAATAGGGCAGCTATAAAACGGGGACCTGTTTCCTCCTCAAGGGATATACATAGCAATATCTATGTATGTGTCTTGTTATGCATAACAATATGTGCAGGATCTAGCAATATCTATGTATGTGTCTTGTTATGCATAACAATATGTGCAGGATCTAAAGCCCCCACTCTGCTAGAGGATGGTAACTTCAGATTGAGCACAATATTCCTAAACACCACCCAGTCACCTCATTACCCAGCCAAAGTCACACATCCTACAGGCTTCACCCCAAATTTTGCCTATAAAAAGTCTTCCACAAAAATCATCCAGGAGTCCAGGTTTTTTGAGCACAAGCCACCAGTTCTCCGTGCTTGGTCTTTGGAATAAATCTTTACCTGCTCCAAACTTTGACGATTTTGTATTTTTGGCCTCACTGTGCATCAGGTACATAAACTTGCTTTTGACAATCATTTCCTATGTAAAAATCCATGAACTCCTAATGTTAAAGGTAAATATGAAAGTATAATGAACTGACAGCCATACCATGTTTGTTTTATGCAAACCAGTTGGCCCTCCTCATGACATGGGCCTAGCAAAATACTCAATATTGTTTGCAAATTTTTTTTCCTATACCTCCAATTCTGACCTGAGCAAGGCTGTTGAAAAATCATTATTCCTTCAACACTTTATGGATTATTTTCTGTGTTCTTTATTGTATATAAATATATCTCAACATTTTGTTTTAAATTATACAAAAACACAGGGTCAGTTTAATCAAAAACATAGTGCTTGATGGGATCATTGGAGGAAATTCCCACTCTGCATCTCCTTCCCAAACATAACCAATGTTCATTAGCCTCAACGTTATTCAGTGCAGTCCACTACACAAATACATTTTTCAGATAGGAGCTTTTCTTTCTTCCACTTATTTATAACTCATTTTGATTCAATTAAAGTGTAGTCATATTATCAAGTCAAACCATTTAAAACTACATAGTTGGGCTGCAACACATAGATTTGAAAGAATGAAAAAAGAGCCCAAAATCAGCGACAGAGACATCAATGATTTAATGGGTGGAGGATCTTACATGTCTGAAGTGTGGTCCTTGAGTGACATCCCACCCTGTGCAGCAGACCACGGGAAGGACGTGGCAGTAGTCTTCCCTAGCAGGGCTTGGGGAGAAGATACCAGTTATAGGGGGAATTGACCTCAGATTGGCTCATCAGTTACCAGGGAAACCAACAGAGCTACATGATTCTCACCGCCCCTTTGATAAGCTATCAGCATGGAGATGTTCTGCTCTAAAGCTAGAACAATCATTGGCTGGGGCATGGGGCAAGTATGCAGGAAGGTTACTCTTCTGAGTAGGGTGTAGGTGAAGCAAGCACTGGTCAAGCAGGAGATGTACAAAGAGCAAGAGAACAGGCGTTTTGAGTGGCCTGACCATACATACATCATACTTTTTCTTGGCTGCATGATATTGTATTGGATAGGTATATGATTTACTTAATAAAAACTTTTACATGGATGTTTAGTTTGTTTCCAAATTTCATTATTGTAAATGTGCAGTAAATATTTGTGTCTGTACTTCTTTGCATGTTTGCATTAGTACTGCAATACAAATTCCAAAATATAGAATTGCTAAGTTAAAATAGATACATAAAAGTTGGTAGATGCCAGGCTTCCCTGGTGGCGCAGTGGTTGAGAGTCTGCCTGCCGATGCAGGGGGCGCGGGTTCGTGCCCCGGTCCGGGAAGATCCCACATGCCGCGGAGTGTCTGGGCCCCTGAGCCATGGCTGCTGAGCCTGCGGGTCCGGAGCCTGTGCTCCGCAACGGGAGAGGCCACGGCAGTGAGAGACCCGCGTACCACAAAAAAAAAAAAAAAAAAAAAAAATGTTAGTAGATGTTAACAATAGGCCATCAAAGAAGCTATGCTAATTTACACTCCCACTAGAATTTGTGAAAGAAAAAGCTGTTCTGACACTTAGTAAAACAGTAAGACTTTTTTCAAGAAAATTACAATAGGAGAGAGAGATCAGACTTAACTCCAAATACAGCAAAGAAAGCTGGGGACTTATAGCTGATGAGCAAAGGGAGGGAATATGTGGATGGAAAATGACTAGAAGGAGACTTCAAAAGTAGAGGGATTCTTACTAACCTGACCTAACGAGATTCTTGCTAAAGAGAGGCCAAGTGCTTAGATGTCAAAGGTGAGAGATGAGGCTCAAGGATGAAGATTCTATCTAAACTGACTTAGCAGGATTCTTGCTAAAACTGTACTGTGCACACCTGTCAAGGATGGGATGGATACGGAATGCTAAGGTCAAGGCTTAGTCTAAAAGAGGGTTTAGAGGAACCTGACTAAAGTTTGGTCAAGAAGGGTATTTGGGTCACATTACATGAGAGTTCCACTCCCCTCATCCCTATTCCAATACAGGATTTCACTGTTCTTTGATAAATACTTATTACAGAGGCTAATCGAATAGATGATTTACATCTACATATTTCCATTGGGCATTTTCTTACTGTATGTGTGAGAGTTACAAATTTTTTATACAAATAGATTCTGAGAACAGAGTCCTTTTTATTATTCTGAAAATCAACTTATATTACATATAAAATTCCATTATATATTTGGATCTATTGATAGATTTTTGTTGTTGTTGTTCCCTTGGTCTATCTATCAATGCACCATTTACACAATGTGTTCATTTCTTTAGCTTTCTTACAGATTTAACTATGATAATCATATCTTTTGACTCAATTTTCAGAATTTCCCTGGTTATTCTCACAAGCTATTCATCAAGAGAAACAGTATAACTTTCTAGGGCCAAATCTCTTAAAAATAATCATGCTGAGCTTCTGATTAGCATCATACTTATGAATTGAAGTGAGACAATATTTTTACAATGGTAAAATAATGACATTATCCAGTCTGCCAACAATATACTTCTGGCCACTGTATATCTCACTCTCCTTTAGATCCCTTATGTAGTTTAATAGTTTTCTA